TAGAGCTTGGCACGCAGTGAGAGACACCAGAAATGGCTCAGCAAGCAAGCACATCTCCCCGACTCCACCCCCCAGGACATGAGAAGGGCAGGGAAGGCAGGCCCCAGCTCCTGCCTCTCTGAGACACCAGGAGGATTGTAGTGGAGGAGAGGTAACACTCAGGAGGGAAACTGAGTCAAGTCTGAGTCTTGGGGCTGGCTTAGAATAAACAGGTCAGCAGCTCTTGGGAGTCACTGCCCACATCCCTCTAGAGAGAGGGGAGGGTAGGAGGACATGTCCCGCCCCCTCCCAGCACCCCAGGGGGAATGCAGCTACCAGACCTTCCTCTCTTCCTGAATCCCAGAATTGGACCCTAGGCAGTTCAAGGGGTAAGAAGGGACAGGAAGCACAGGTGCATTCCAGTGCGCACGCGCGCGTGCACACACACACACACACACACACACACACACACACACTGCCTAAGCCCTGGACCCCACCAGAGAAGCAAGAATGAGTAAAAAATAACATGACAAGGAAAGTGGTCCCCTGTGTGCCAGACGGGGGTGACCAGATCTAGACTTCGCCACCATTATCCTTACTTTCAAGGAAATGACCTGGGGGAGGTGAGCTGCCTTCCTGGACACACTCAGATAAGGACAAGAACAGAGTTTGGTCCCTAGATCCCTGCACTTTCCAGAAGTCAGCTGGCCAGAGTATGGCAGGTGAGATCAGAGGCCCTGCTACAGTCACAACAGACAGGGGACCTGGGAAGATGCTGATCTTGGGGCACAGCCTGTGCTACCCTCAAGAGACCCACACACACACACCCCACCCTCTGCCAAGTACCCAGCAACACAATGCTGGGGACCTGTGGAGAGCTGAGACCAAGGAGCTGCCTTCTGAAATGAGTCACAGGTTCTTGGGGTGCCAGGGGAGGGGGTACACAAGAATGGGATGGAGGGCCAGACTAAGGATCAGAACCCCAATGCCTCTTCCTTCCTGCCCTTCTGTCCCTACAGTCACTACACAAAGCTTTCCCCAACCCACTGCTTCCCTGTGGCTAGAGGCCACTGTCCCCACTTATACATGAGTAAGGCCCAGAAAGGGCTCTCAGTGACAGGGGCACCCCAAGATAGACAGGCCAAGGCCCACCTGGCAAAGGAGTTCAATAGTGAATGGTGTAAGAGTCCACCTGTCAGGGGCTGAAGAGATGGCTCAGTGGCTAAGAACACTGACTGTTCTTGCAGAAGACCCAGGTTCGAATCTCAGCACCCACATGCCAGCTAACAACTGTCAGTAACTCCAGTTCCAGGGGATCCGACAGCCTCTTCTGTCCTCCAAAGGCATTGCACGGCATGGGTGCACTTACACACATGCAGGCATAACACTCACACATGTAAAATAAAAATAATAAATAAAATATTTTTTAAAAAACAAGGCCAGGTGTGGTGGTGCACATCTTTAATCCCAGCATTTGGGAGGCAGAGGCAGGAGGATCTCTGTGAGTTCAAGGCCAGGCTGGTCTACATAGTGAGTTCCAGGATAGCTGGGGCTACAGGGAGACCCTGTCTCAAAAGGACCCCCCACGCCAAAAAAAATAGAGTCCACCTGTGGAGTTCCAGCCCTGGTTCCACTGCTGTGTGGCCCTGGGCTGGTCTGTAATCTCTCTGTGTTTTGTCTGCAAAATGTCAAATAACAGTGGCTACAGAAGGGATTGAGCAAGTGTCAAGGGCCAATCTCAAAGAGCTTTACCCCAGGCCTGGCCCTAGGCAGGGGCCAGAGGAGCCTTAGCTACCTTATTATTACCATTATCACTACAGACTATTGTTGCTAACAGCACTAGCCCCTTCCTCTGGCCTGCCCTGGTGGCTCTCCAGTCCTCAAGGCCTCTCCAGGGCTTCCCTGGGAACTGGATGCAGGGCTGAGGTGAAGGAAAGAGGGCTCTATTATCCCAAGCCTCAGACAAGATTCCCAGGCACAAGGTCTGTGCCTCTTCCCTGAGGATGCTCACTGGGTCACGAGAAGGTTAAGTTGATCAGGAATTGCCTGGGTCCACCAGAGGCAGAGGGCTGAGTTAACCTTCTGGACTATTCTCACCACTGGCCCAGTACTCAAACTTAGTAGGCATGGTTAGTGTAGCACTGATGGTAGGGAGGGGCTTGGGGCAAGGAGAGGACCTGGGTGGCCTGGGAGGGTCCAGAGGCAGGCAAACTTCAGACAGTTATCACTTATGAAGCCCTCCCACCTGCAAACAGAGCACAGCCAGGGGTGACAGAAGTGGCCCTCACCCAAATTCTGCCTCCAAAGCCGATATCCTGCAAGCCCCCATGACAGGACAGCCAGCCACAGTGAGACAAAAGCATGGAGCTCCCAGGGACCCCAGACCCTCCCCCTGGAGAAGACTTGGGAACTGGGTGTGCCCATTTCTGTCCCAAATCTGTGGGAGTCTCGAGCAGCCTCTACTATAGCCAGGAACCTCTCAACCCACCTGCCACTCTGACTCACCCCCATCCCCTGTGATTCCAGAGTCACTACCCCTCTATAGAGTGCCTTAGGGAAGAGTCCTGCTGATGGGATGTTTCCCTGAGCCACCCAGCAGGGGAATTCATGGTAAGGAAGGAAGGCACAGATCTCAGTTTACCTGTCTGTCAAGTGGGCACATGACAGAAGCAGGCCCTCTCAACTCATAGGACCCCAGAAAAGTAAAGAAAACTCTTTATAAGTTAGACTTAAACCCAATGGGGGGCAGCTGCTCTGAGCTGGGGGGATAGAAGACAGCTGGCATGAAATGAGCCCCACCCCATGTGCCAGCACCCTGAGTAAGGCCCACTGTGACCACCCCTTCATATCTCTATCCCCCTCCCCAAGTGGCAAATGAGAGACAACAGTGACTGGAATGCCTAAATCACGAAACTCAAATTGAGATCAGAACTCAATATTGCAAGCCTCTGGCTGTGCAAGCTTTCTGTGGTCACATGTAGGTCCACACAAACACTAACGTGTGACCCAAGGGTCAGTGAGCCGGCTAAGACAGGAAGGCCAGTTGGGACCAGAGAGGCTCAAACAGGAGGGGGCACCATGTAGGGTAAAATGATATACATTCTTCCCAGAGCAAAGAACTAGGCCTCGACAGACCACCAGGAAATGGACCCCTTAGGAGAGAGCACTCACCCTGAGGCTCCACCCCTTTTCTTTTTCTCCTCCTCTACCCACAGGGGGCATGACTACACTCAGCCTCACATACCCAACAGTGATATCATAAGCTCTGGCCCATGGGGGTGGCCTTCACACTGTCTCAGTGACGTCACCAGTAGCCTGGAGCTGATGTCATACCCCAAGGTTCTCACTGACATCACAGTCATACACACCTCTCTCTGATGTCTCCCTTTGGTTACTTTTCTCTCCCCGCCCAAGGGGTGATGGCCAAGAGGTCCCCCTATCCAACACACATACCAGTAGAGCCTGTGTGTGTGCACCCACGCACCAGACAACACGCACACACGTGTACAAGTCCCCATACTTCGCTGATGGTCTAGACATGACCCGTCCCACAGGTGTCCACAGGCTATAAGAATGAAGCATGAGCCAAGCATGCACACACATACACAAGCGAACATGCCCAGCCCCAGCGATGCAGCTCTGGGTGTTGAGATGCCCCTCCTCTGTCACTGAAGCGGGCAACCAGGGCTGCAGCTACCACATTGCTCTAAGTACAGCTAGCAGCTGCCCCTTCCCCCAGCTTCCCCTCCCACAGCCTGGCCTGCTGACAGTGACAACCGCAGCAGGACACAGGAGCACTCGCACACGTACACATGCACACACGCACACATGCACACACATTCTCCAGCCTAACACCTGTATCTCTCAGCAAAGGACTGGGACCTTTACAGCTGTAGGGTGGGAGGAGACTGAGGAAGGGGGCCAGGCAGAGCTTAGGTCCCCAGAAAGTCCCCTTAAGCTCCATAGCCTTCCAGAGCTAACTGAGGGTGGGAGCAATGTCCCCTGCTCATTCTCCTTGGTCATGTCTGACACACCGCAGCCTGGCAGTCTCCGTCCTCAACATAAGCTGCCCAAGTGCGCACATTCATACTCACAGATATGCACACCAGCTCTCTCCTCCAAACATTCCCAGGAAACCCTGCTGGGTCACAGACTGTGTCTGCGTGTTGAGGGGGGATGCGGACAGTGAGGGTCTATCCTGAGTCAACACACACCCCTCCCCACGTGTACAAACCGTCCCACTGACCAACACACCCACCCCCTTCCCCCTCCTGGCCAGTTGCAGTTGGAACACGCACACACACTGGCACACACGCACAACACACACATGCACACACCACCACCGACCGGCATTGGCCAGGCCCAGACAGCTACAGTCTGCCAGTTTATGCTGGTGCCCTAGTGGTCTCCTGCTTGCCCCACACCAGCCCTGCAGAGGAAGGAGCAAAGCCCTTGCAAGGGTCCCTGCACACCTCCCTCCCAGCTCTGGTCTTCCTAATAAATCCATGGCACCCCTGCAAGAAAGGGGGACGAGCCCCACCCTGGCCCCCTCCTCCTGGGCCAGCCACCCGGTCACCCCCCCCACACACACACCCTTACCAGTGAGAAGATGAATTCTTTGACCCGCCAGGATCCAGTGAAAATGGGGTTGGGACCTCTGATTCGCTAAGATGGGGGGCAGAGAGGTGCGGTGTGGCCCTGGCTAGCAAAACCGTCTGCCTACAAGCCTCTGCACCACCCCTCAAAAATGCTCACCTCGGTGATCGTCCTCCATGCCCTCCCACCCCGCTTCCGCCCAGCCCCGCCCCCACCACCCCCGTGCAAGGTGCTCCCCTGGGGGTCTCACGGGGATCCCCAGACCAGGAGGAGCCGAGGGTGGCTCTCTCCAGTTCATCCTCCCCTCCCGGGTCCCTCTCCAAGCCCCACCCCGGCTGGCCGCCTGGGTGTCCTGAGGTGCAGCCCCGACTCCCACGGTCTCCGGGGGCCGCGAGCAGCTCTGGGATCCGGAGGAATCCACTCACCTACACCCAAGCGCGGATCCGGGATCCGGGCCGGACGCCGCCGCCTCCGGGCAGCGGCTTCTGCGGGGCCTGCGCGGGAGAACAAGCGTGAACGCCGGTGCGAGTGTGCGCGGCGGCCGGCCGTGGCTCCGTGCGTGTCGTGTGTCTGTGGCGTGGCCGGGGCGTGTGTGTCTGTGAGCGAGCGTGTGCGCGCAGACACCGCCACCCCCGCCGCCCGCCTCCCGCAGGGGACCTGGGCGCGGGGGACGTCAGGAGCGGGAGATCGCCGAGTGTGTGGGTCGGTCCGTTCCGGCACCCGGATCCCGGGCTGTCTCCGCAGGCCTGTCCGCAGCAGACCCTCCCTCCGCCC